ACGTTATTAATAATTGCTATGATGGTGATGACTACTACGTCGTCACCGCTACTAAAGGAAACTCAACTCGGATCGACTCCGAAAACACCGATGACAAATGTAACAATGTCTCCATTTAATATCATAACAGTACCGGATTTTCCGTGTCCACCTGGCCAACAACGTGACATAAACGGAAAATGTCGATTGTTTTTGCAAAACCTTAAGAAGTAGTTCCAAGACTATAGGTAAGATAACTTGTAAATAAGGTACAGTGCGATAATTTTGTGACGAGGATCATAGAGATTAATTAGAAAGAAATACATAAGGAAAAAATAAAGAAATTGCAGAGAAATGAAAATTAGAATTTAGTTATCATTTCTGCAAAATATTGCAAGATTACGCATGCATGTAGTGATAATCTCTTATCAAAAATACGCCTTGACAAGGTATCGTGTAAATATAATGTAATTTCTATAATGGATTTTATCATAATCCATGGTGGTGTTGATTTATGAAATCCTCAGTATAAAACTAATCAGTCATTGCGCAGCATTAACAACAGCGTCTTTATAAGCATCTGCTTTTTCGAGGATGTTTCACAAGTCGTATGCACTATTTGGACATTATCGAAATCTCAAATTTTTAAAACGGTTTGCATTCTGTGGTGAAAATCGAAAATGAAATTTTATATCGTTATTAATAATTGATTATCGTGTCGTCACCGCTACAAAAGAAAATTCAATCAAATTTCGAATCGACTCCGAAAACATCGATGACGAATGATGATATACGCATAATACAAAATGTCGTAGCGGTGCCGGAATGGCCTCTTCCGTGTCCATCTGGCTATAAACATGACGCGAACGGAAAATGTCGATGGCTTTTGGAAAATCGTAAAAAATAGTTTTAAGAAAAACTATAGGTAAGATAACTTGTAAATAAGGTAAAGTGCGGTAATTCTGGCCGAGGATCGTAAAAATTAATTAGGAAGAAACATATAAGGGAAAAATAAAAGAAACTGCAGAAGAATGAAAATTGGAATATTCGGGAAAATTTCTTAATGTTACCCCGGTATGTATAACCCGGAAATAATCAATTAGAGTGTTTTTATATTTAAAAAATGTTATAAAATATTGTTTTATATGAATATTGATTAATATATTGTATTTTCTTTCATTTTAAATAACCATTTTTTACGAATAAAAGAGAAGAGTGATATTTTTAGTCAAAGCAGGTTTTGCTTATTGTTAGTAATATTCATATGTGAAACAAATGCAATTTTTAGTTCTACAGACTAACTGCTTTTTTCGGTTTTTTTTTAATTGTGAAATTATATATTTCAGTTCATGATTGTGTTTTAAGTCCGACAAATTGAATCGGCAATTTATACAACTAAAAATTGTATTTGTACAGTCACATATAAATATTACTAACAAGGAAACACGACGAACACTCCCTCTCATTTTAATAAGCTTTGGATATACTAAACTATAAACGAAAATAAAAGATACATTTTTTTATACATGTTGGGGGGATGAAAATCTCCTTGAAAAAAATTGGTTTTTTTATTTCAGAATGAATATACTATATCGTCGAAACTATGAGAGATAGAAAAAATGTTTTAAATAAAAGTTAAATGGTTTCAAGAGTACTTCATAATAATCATTATAAAAAAGTTATTTAAATAAAAATTTTTTTATCTTTTTTAATTTTGATTATAAAGTATTCTTGAAACTATTTAGCTTTTATTTAAAAGATTTTTTTTCTGTTTCTTATAGTTTCGATGATATTCATCTAAAAAAAAAAATGATCTTTTCAAAAGAGTTCTTTTACTCCCTTAACCTTCGACTTAGCACGTAAAAAAAAAGTATTTTTTATTTTTATCTATATTTTACATATCCAAAGCTATTTAAAGTTAATTGTGTTTCTTTATAAGTACCAAGATCTGCTTTGACTAAAAATGGCATTCTTATTTCTTCTTTTTCTTCTTACGTTAGGCCTGTGGTCTGTGTTACACCTCTCAAATGCTTGTAGGGCGTACACTGATTATTCAATTGCCACGAGCATATAGGACAGTTTTAATGCCAGTTTTGAACGGCGGATTTTTCGAGAGATGTGGGTAAGGATATTCTCGAAAGATTGCCGACCTTTCCTGAGAAGAGATACGAGCGTAAATATTTTGGTTTCTGGGATTTAAACCGAGGATTTCTAGCATGATAGACCTGTGCGCTCTCTGTTATGCCACGCTCGCGCTCATACGCATTCTTATTTGTGTTTAAATATTTCTCTGTTTATATATATATATATCATTTATTTTGTTCTTTACAAATCTTTAAATATGTAATTCCATTGAAAACTTGCTATAAAGGCGTTATATTAATTAATAATAATTATATTAATTTTTTGGAAATACGGTCATAATAAGCTATGCTTAACGTGTATGTATATATTCTGTTTAATATTTAATTTGTATCTACTTTTTTCAGAAAATTGTAATTAAATTTATAATGTTCGCAGATATTAATAAATAAGGAGACAATCAATAATGTATAATATATTAATATTATTAATTTTAATTAGTGTAAAACATGTATTCCAGATAATCGTTTACGTAAAAAAAAAAGAAATTAAATAACTATTCCCGGGTTAACGACGACGTCGTTGTAAATAACAAGAGATTAGCGGGAAAACGCCCTTTTAACGAAGATATTTCATACGTTATAAGCGTCGTTTAGAGGAATCGAGGTCAAACGTTTTGTGTGAATATCACAAAAATGAAAATTTAAGCCACGTTGTTAATCTCCTCCGTGACGATGATGACTGTCGTGTTGTCATCGTTGTCGGAAATAAAAAGAATTGACTGCTACCGAAAAATCAACGACAATTAAATTCTAGATTCTCGGTCGCATGTAATAGCGTGGCGTCGATTCGTGTTTTATGACACATTGATTTTGTATTCCGTCGATCAGTGACGTCATTGAAACAAAAAAATATCGAAAAATCTCTAAAACAAAAAGTGAAGCATGATTCAGCAATTTTGCAATTTTGCAGTAACATTGCACATGTTTTATTGAATAAATCAAAAGAACTAGTTTTAATATATTCCTTCACAGAATTACGCACATTTAAAGATTTTTTTATTATATTAACTTACAAAATGTCCACATATAAAATAACTTAAATAATAAAATTTTTAAGTGTGAATATCTAACATATATCTAACATATATTTTTTATCATATATTTTATAACATATATTTTAATCTATTTTTTGAAAATGCATTTATCAATAAAAATTTATGTTTTTCGTGCAAACTTTTGCCTCTGAACCAACAATTTTATCCCTGAAAAACACGTATTTTAATTTTCTTTTCCGGAACATTCCTGCATATATTTCAAATGTTTATTTTAGCGATTATATTATTTCGGCTCATTCCCTAGCTATTTAAATATACCAATAGAGCAAAATGTGTGTGTGTGTGTGTGTGTGTGTATCTAAAAAGAAAAATATAAAAAAATTTTAAACCATTGCATATAATTCCTTTTTTATGTCGCCAAACAAGGGCCATTCATTCATGAGCTATTATTTTTTATATTTGTTTGCAGATACAACGATACGAGCGGTGTAATCCTACAAACGTCACAGTGAAATATCATAACAACGCATGTCAAGAGATTGGCCAAGCTATTTGTCCGCTTTGCTTTGTTTTCAGAGAAACAAACTTCACCATCAATGCGATTATCAATGTATATTATTTATTAGTTGTTTTAGCGTTTACGCAGTAACTTGCAATTATAATATGAATCCCGATTTATCATAATAAAATACATTTTTTATCTATGTTTTTTTTTATGTTCATTTTTTTCACGTCAAATAAAAATTATGTATATCAACAAAATCTAGCAATAAGTAGAAAAAACCTTCAAAGCTGTATGTTTATGCAAACTACACATCACTATATGTATTGAAATTTAAATAATAACTGAATTGTCGAATTTAAACTGATTTTTCTCTAATAATAGACATTTAGTAATAATTCCTATCCTGTATAGGAAAAAAAAGCTACAACGAATGTTATTAAATAAAATATTATTAATAGCTGTGTGTGTGTGTGTGTGTGTGTGTGTATACCAATTTTGTCTCCAACACGTTCTTTAGGTCAGCTATATTATCAGATTCCAACGTTTATTGATCTAAATACAACTATGGTATTGACAGCACGAAATAAACGCCAGCAGTCAATTTTAATGCCAAACGTGCAGCAAAATACGCGAAAATACGAGTCTATAATTCTTATCCCATATAGAAAAAGTTACAATGAACATTATTAATATAGCATTATTAATGACTGTGTATGCATATCAGTTTTGTCTCAAATATATTCTTTAAGTCAGCTGTATTATCAGATTTTGACATTTATTGGTCTAAATACAGTGGTACTGACAGCATAAAATAAACGCCAGCAGCCAATTTTAATGCTGAACGTGCGGCAAAATATGAAAATATGAGCCTTCGATATCGTTATCTGTCTTTTCAGTTTTCTATTCAGACATAAAATTGTTCACCGATATGTACAGTAACCTGTTTTTTATTGATCAACAAAAGTTATTATTTTTAAAGCATCTTTACAACTATGTCAAGATCGATATTAGTCTGTTACGTTACTCTGTAGCTATAACAGAATTATAATCTAGATGGAAGTCATAAGAAACGATATATATGTGTGAAGCTGAGCAGTTTGTATATTATCCAAACATATATATTATTTATCAGGTTGTTAGAGTTGTGTGAATGTTCCGCTTATATTTCACAGAAGTTTTCACGGAAAAGTAACAGAACGCAATAGCTATCAATGTTTATTGACAACATTGATATTAATAGACTTTGATTGCGATAATTACCACGCCTTTAATCTGCATAATTGTAGTTTTTTATCGTAATAAAGCAAAGTGCATTGGAAGTAACATCTGAGTATAAATAGGAAACACATGCAATAGCACAGTGGCAAAATACTCGTTAAGATAAAAGAGTAAAAGAAGTATTAAGTGCAAGCAAAGTTGGAAAATTCTGCGATAAGTTACGAGAAAGAAAGTCAAGAAAAGTTAAGAAAAGCGAATCGAGAAAACGGTAAAGATTAGTTAACAATATTAGTGATGCGTGAACTTCAATCCTTACTCGCATTTTAAATTGCATTTTTAAACAAAAAAATTATTGCCGTCGTTTAGAAATGAAGTTCTTTGGTGGTGCTTTTCTAATACTTGTGACGATAATGTTAATCTTGGTACCACTGACAATCGGTCAGAAGAATAAGGATGTAATGGATGTAATAAAAAATAATACACAACCCAAGAATAAGACACTCTGCGCTGAATGTAAAGTACTACAACCTACAATACATATAAATGCATTTATAAATGCACCTAGAAGAACAACTGCAAGTCCATGTCCGAAGGGCCAGAGACAGGATGCCGGAGGAGTATGTCGCTCACTCATATAACGAGCGAAAAAGGTAACAGTTTCTTAGAGCGTATTTAGGTTTGTTAGAACAAATTATCGTTAAAAGTAAAACATAGATTCCAAATGAACGTAATTAAATCACGCTCAATTATGCTCCAGATTCGGCAACGTGTAGATTTACATAAATTTATATGAAAACTCTGGATTTCGATATATAAATATTTTTAATATAATATTTCTATATTAATATAATCTATAGTGATATAATATTTTATATATAACAATTAAAAATATAAATAAAAATAATGGCTGAATAGAATTAAAAATTCAAATAAAATAAATATCAAAAAAGGCTATTCGAGCCAAAAGGGCTGATAGCTTATGCAAAATTGAACATAATTTCACAAAAATAAAATTACATTAAATATAAACATACGTTTCGATCTTTAATTTATTCAGATTATAAAAATATAAAATACAAAACTATTACCAATTTACGAATACATAATTATACTATTAAATATTCGAGGTAGCTTTCTTCATTGCTCTCTAATTCTCTTTATAATGTTATATAGCATTAAATAGATCTTAAATCACCTATAATAATATCGTGCGAAACTGGCAGATATGCGGATTATATCGATTCAAAACCATATACAATGAATGACAACATTCGAAATTCATGTATCATGTACCAAATGTACTGAATTCCCAGATCCGCCAAATTCACTCATTTTATTCTATCAATCAGCCTCAACAATTTCAAATTTTTCATTTATATAACCTTCCTCTTCATGATATAATATAATTCTATATATCTTTCTATTTGATATATGTTTTCATACCTTTTTATTATTTATCAGAAAATATTAACTGTTCATTAATGCTAATAATATTGGTAGTTTTGAATATTAGCTTTAAGTACATTAACAATGATCAAAACAAAATACATATGCATATAATTTTTTAATAAAACTATATTAAGTTATATAATATACAAAGATGTAAAATGAATCATTGTACTATTTTAACAAACTATATTAAGCTTAATAATATTATTGTATGAATTTATTTACTAAAGTGTAATTGTGCAGTATTTCTGAAAATTATATCTGTCTATCTATTCTGACTTCCCAAGGTACATATGTATTTTATATCTGTTTGCAGGCTCGCAGATATCAACATTTCAGCAATATCAGCGATAAAAGCGATATCCAAAAATATCGTCTCAACAAACAGAAAACTGAAAATACACACTATACTTTTTGTATCCACCAGGATTATAATAACTTCAAATTGTACAGTTAATTTTAATTGTATTGATCATGATCTTGACATTCCTGAACAACATTTAAAAAGGTTTAATCATCACCTTATCGAACCAATCGAACACCTTAGCTAATGCTAATGCCGGCGGTATTGTAATTTTTAAGTCTTATAACTCAAAAAGTATTTAATGAAAAAATATTTTGATACATTATTTTGAAAAGTTTTCGAGGTAAATATAGTAAAAATATGCAATAAAAAATAAGGGTTTCTATTTTAAAAAATCAATGTGAGCTCGATCTAATCTTGGCACCTAAAGTGTGGCACAAACTGTGTGTGATAAGACTAGTAAATAGATCTTTTTAAATCCTAAAACTATTGATTGTACCTTATTCTGCGAAGAGATAAAAGGGGTGTAGATGGTCTGGCACACCGGAGATCTGTATATAAAATAATTTTTTTCAATCCTATAATTTCATACATTTACTTTTATATTATCTGAAACCTAGTAAATATATATTTAATAAAACATGAAAGAGTACCCAGAAAACTTTAAAAAAACGAATTAATTACACGAAGGTATCAGGTTCTGTCACTTCTTTTGAAATTTCGTACACTCTCATATTGAATAATAACGCAAAAATCTATTTAATGTATTACTCTTCTAGGCTTATCGTATTTATAGATAATTAAAATTTTTTTTAACTTCAATCCAGCTAGCAGCTGTTCGAATTACATATACTATAAAAAAGTTATGGCAATATAAAAAAATCGCCGTGAGTACTTTAGTAGCTAAGGTTAAATAAAATTTATGTCAATTATAATTAGAAGACATTTATAATTAATATAAAATTAACATAAAACTTTTTGCATCGAAGTAACGATCTTTCTGTAAATTTTCATTAAAATTCTATCAAATATTTTATTATTTTAAATTTATCAAATCATTTATTATAATTTTAATATAACATACAAAAAAGTATAAATTATTAATAAATTCAATTATAACATTATGTTAAAAAGTTATTATTAAAAGAACTGTTACTGAATTTAATTTTGATGTTTAAAATATTTTTACCATTTTGAACTCATTGTGTCAATTTTGACATTTATAGATTAATATTCAGCGGTATAAAAACCTTTAAATTTAAATAATACATATAATTAAAAAATATTTAATATCTTATAAATAGCATATGTAAATTATAACACTTCATAGCAACAAATTTTGCATTAATGAAAAATATCTTTTGAATTATAATCGATACAACAAGAATTCAGCTTTTAGCATTGCTTTATTATATATTTTAGAAGATAATTTAAATATGCTAAAAGTATATGTAAATTACAATTTTAATAACGTGATATATTTTACATTAAACACAAATATCTTTTTAACTATAATCGATCGATACAACAAAAATTCAGCTTTTAAGAGCTAGAAATCTTAACAACATACTTAATTTTGATCATAATAAAACTTTTCTACCATATTATATATCGTACTACAATATGCTGAAATAATTTTCAAAATTGCTTTTTTGCAATTTTAAATATAAATTTCGTAAAATTGTAACGTGATACAATAATTTAACGAGATCATATTTAAAATTAAAAAAACTACGAGACATTATCTTTATTCTTACGATTTTTTTTGCTAAATAGTGTTATTATCGACACATTAAATATAATATTCTTTGTATTTTAAAAAATTATTTTCTAAAATATATAATAAAGTAATTTCTTTTAAAATATATAAGTATAATTACACGTTTGACCTTCCTTTGCGATGTGAAGTTCTGTCCTTGTAACTTCTCATTTGAATAAAGGAGAATATACTGCTTCATAACCGGTTCTTTTAAAAGATAATCATGAAGCTTGCACAATCAGGAAAGATACGATAGCTATAAATAGAAAAAGTAGATGTATAGGAAAGAAATAGTACTGCGCGTTTTGTTGAAAGGATAAAGTGCGTACTAAAGATCCAGTAAATCGAGTTAAGAATATTGAAAAAAGAGAAGATATCTTTCATGAAGAAACAAAGAGAGCGGCATAATAAGAATTTCTTAAAGTTCCTTCAAATTATCTTATATTTTATAAAACAATTTTCAAATTATTTTATATTTTATATTTTACTAAATAAAAAATTAAGGATAAAATTTTAAAGTATCAAAAAAATATTTAAATGTTTGAAAATATGTTAATAAAATGTTTAGAAAATTTAAAAAAAATTAAAAGAAATAGAAGATTTATATTATATATATTATTGTATAACATATTCGACTATTTCATAGAAATAAAAGAATAGATAAACGATATATGACGTTTCGTTTGGTACGGTATTTTCTATAGATCACGTAAAATATTCAGATTTTTACAATACAAAAATGAAAATATTCTTGATATTTTGCTGACAATCACGTTAATGATGGCCATAATGATATCATTAGAAATATGTATTACGACTATGTGTGACTATGGGTACTAGCATAAAATAAAATATTATTTATCTATCCCAAATATCATTGATAGTTCCATAAAGCCACTTTGCCCAACAGAGAAGAGAAAAGATACTCACGGGACATGTCAGACGCTGTTATAACAAAGATAATATGCAAGTAATTATCAATTTAATATTTCACACTCAATTCCTAACAGAGAAGCAGTAAAACTTCAAACATAATCGCGCCAACATTTTCGGTAATATAATGCAAAGCTGCGAAAACCAAATAAATTATGTACGATTGTTTAAGCTGTTAGGAAAATGAATTTTAGCTGAAGTTATTAAATATAGAAATGTTAAACCATAGTATTATTAATTCAAGCTAATGAACATAAACTTTTAAAATAATAAAAGAAATAAAAATCGAAACAAATTTTTTAATGAACGTAAACTTTTACGTTCATTAAAAAATTTTCTTTTTGTTTTTTATTTCTTTTAATATTTTAAATATTGCATACCAATATTCAAAATATAACAGAAGTGTGAGTTTCGATATGTAATTGTACTGAAAGAATTTTATTTAATCGATATATACTATAACATGTAAATATTACAATTAATAATTCAGAAATATCAGAAATTCCAATCACTTTTTTACAATTCACGTTTTATATACATTTATTTTCTCATTTTGATTTTATTTTTTTTTTACAGATTCATGGATATTGATGACTTTTATAATTCAAAACTCGCTGAATAATCTAACATATATGCGATAAACTAATTTATAAGAGTAATGTACAATTACTGAATTATAAAATAATATCAATTTCCATGCTAGTACCAGATATTATATTGTTTCGTAAAGTCTCTATATTATAATTAATAAATTAATTAAATCATTAAATCTAATTTTTCAAAAATTATTTCTGTTCTAGTTTAATTGAACAATCCGTTTATAACACAAAATGTTAATAGATAAAAGAAAACTTCTAAATTCCTAGATACATTCAAGTCAATTTAATAATTACATATTTAAATTTATATCTTAGCAAGCGTAATTTCTTATATATAATAGTAATAAAATTTGCGTAAATCGAAAAAACATGGATTATATATAGTGAGTATTGGATAGAGAATAGCAATGCAGTTCAATCTGTTGAATCGATCAGGCGTAGCGGCACGAATCGAATTTGTAGAAAACGGAAGAAGTTGTGGTAAGATTATAAAAGACAAAGAAATTAGAATAAAAAGAAAAATGAGAGAAACAGAGGAAGAAAGAAAGAGAATAGACAAGAACGTTTTACTTTTTTCAAAGGATTTAAATAAATAAAACGGTGAAACTATCGCAAAATTTTAAATATTATAAACAATTATGCGATATATTCGATAGGTCAATATTTATGAAATTATACAATAAAATCTTGTATAACATTTGTAATCTGCAATTATACAGATATATTTACAAAAATTGCAAAAATTTTGATTAAAAAAAAATATATACTGTTTGCGCAATTATAATAATTTCGACATAATATTTCAGCAAAATAATAACAACATAAGGAATCATTTGCTAAAATAAATTTATAAAGAAATTACCCAATAATTGAGAAAAATATTTTATGAGAAATTTAAAATGCCTATTATGGTCAAAGCTGGATCTTCATTGCTTAAAATAATTCAATCTTGAATTACTAATATACACAATATATGTACTTGCATATATACCATATTGTAATCTTTTCAAACTGCGCGCCGAATTATTTTTCCGGACTATAAACGCAATTAAAACTATTCTAGTAATCGCGAACTAAATTGACAAGCAACTTTAATAATTTGATGCTACAATCAAGCATCGTATTATAAAGATGTTAATATATTTAAAAACTATTAATATATTTAATATATTTAAAAATTTAATAAATTTATTACGAAAAATATTACCTCGGCCGGAACTTAAATCCGGATCTCTTCTATTTCGTACGAGCGTCCTAAGCCATTAGACCACCGAGGCATTAAAAATATTTTAACCATTATTTTAGAATTATAATTGTGCTCGTAAAAAAACGCACAATTATTTCTAAATTATGTAATATAGAATATTGCAACATAAAGTATTATACGTTTAGCATAAATTAAAAATTTTGGAATCAAATAGTTTTTGGCATGCATGTGAACTGATGTTTTGAAAGTGTTTGTCGAGCATTTGAAAGTAATTGAATAAAATAAATAACCTGATTTGTTACTTTAATATACTAGTAGCGTCTCATTAATTATGTTCTTGAAAAAAAAGTAAATAAAAAAATATTTATACCTCTAGTGTAATTGGATTTATCTAATTTCTTATAAATGCCATGTAGAAATTCTATTTATTTTCAGACAAAATCGGGGATGAGTAAATCTAAGAAATTCAAAATAACAAAATTACATATCAATTTTTGTATTAATGTCATGATCTATCAATTTTCATATTTTATAATTTTTATTATATTTTTAGAATAAATAAATAAATTTATTAAATTTTATAATATTTATTTTTAAGAAATTATTTATTTTTAATAGCATTTTACACATACGTACACATAGTGATAAAATGGACTTTTATTATTATCACTCATCAATTACATCTGATCATGGAATTATTTATGTTAATAACGCAGTTTATGTCAGATGAAAGTATAAAACGAAAATTCTGTTCAACGCAGTTTTAACAGAGTAGAATCA